CGACGATGTGAAAATGATGATGGATGGTAAGACGAGATGGGCGTACTTTATTTCTGAGTCATCATGGCAATTCATTCTGAAGTCGTGGTGCATCCTCACGCCTGCTCTAAGCCCTTGCAGTCGCTTGAAAGAAGTCGGCGCTAAGTTCGTTCGGAGTCGACTGGGGGGTCAAAGGGTCCAAGCGCCGACTCGGATGTGTATCCTCACGGTCCATATGAACCCGGCTCGGCAGAGTCCTTTCGGATTTCTACCTGGATTGCTGGAGTGAGAATCAGATACAAATAGCATGACGAACTTACATTGAATGGTGGTTCATCCTATCCCAGAAGTTGAAGCAAACTCGTCCGTTTTTAGCGGTACTTTCCATCTGTTGTGTCAGAGAATGTGGTAAAGTGTCAGTTTATGTGCAATTGTAGAATATCATACTAACCCAAAATTTGACGAAGGATTCGTTTCAACAGACGCCTGAAAAAGATGTTGGTAGATGGTTATGAATCCAGAGGCGGAGGTCTAATTGCGCTGAAACTTTACATAAACAAATTTGAGACCATTCTTGCCACGTTTTTTTTCTTGCTTTCACGCAACTCCTCCTCAATCTCTTATATTGAATGTCTATGACTCCTTGCAACAGCCATTTCGGATTGCCAGAATGGAAAATATCATGAGCAACTCACTCACTCAACCCCCTCTATGACATACTTCGTCCTGGTGCGCTGGCAGACTTTTCTGAACTCCAGCTCATAATTATGCTCCTAGGCAGAAAACTCACAATCATTCGTTACCACAGCGCCTCCCCACCCGAAAGCGCTCAGAATTCCCGATCAACGCGAGATGAGATCTGATCACCCCGAAGCAGCTTATCTCAACCCCATCGCAGCAGCCTGCCGTGCTCCTCCACAACCACCATGTCCCAAGTCACCAACAAACCCCCTCTCCAACTCGCTCTACGCGGAGACTCCCTCCTAACCTCCCCGCGCTTCAACAAAGGCGCCGGGTTCCCAGCCAACGAGCGCACAGCGTTTGGATTGATCGGCCGTCTCCCATATCGCACCAATACCCTCGACGAGCAATGCGAGAGAGCCTACGAACAGCTCACTTCCCGTGATTCGGCGATACGCAAGAACACGTTCTGCAGAGCCGAAGGACCAGAAT